TTTCACCATGTTGGCCAGGCTGGTCTCAAACTCCTGACATCAACTGATCTGCCCACCTTGGCCTCCCATAGCAGTGGGATTACAGGCATGAGCCACAGCGCCCAACCGACACGCCTCATTATACCTTCCTCCCTTTGGAATTCAGGCACAGCTGACCAGTGTTAATATTAAAACAGAGACCTTAAGGTGCAGCCTGACCAAGATGGTGAAACCCTGTCTCTACTAAAAATCCAAAAATGAGTTGGGCGTGGTGGTGGGCGCCTGTAATCGCAGCTACTCAGCAGGCCGAGGCACGAGAAACTCTTGAACCTGGGAGGCAGAGGTTGCAGTGAGCCGAGATGGCACCTTTGCACTCCAGCCTGGGTGATAGAGCGAGACTCCGTCTCAAAAAACCCCCCAAAAAACGGAGACCTAAGACTGACAGAACAGACTGTTCGTAGCCATAAGATTCCAGCGTGACAGCAGGCCCTGAGAGAAATCGAAGTATTTTACCTCAAAATATATTTATTTGGCCTATTTTGAAATGCTCCTGCAAAGCTGTCTCTGATGCGGAATCCACATTCTATAGAGAATACCTTTCCCTTTCTAGGTCTTTTTCCAAAACCATGAGAGAATTAGCTAGGAGTCTAGCACTTTTTTTTGTTTGTTTGTTTTTTTAGACGGATTCTCACTCTGTCACCGAGGCTGGAGTGCAGTGGTGCAAGCTTGGCTTACTGCAACCTCCGCCTCCTGGGTTCAAGCAATTCTCCTGCCTCAGCCTCCTGAGTAACTGGGATTACAGGTGCCCACCACTCGCTTGGCTAATTTTTGTATTTTTAGTAGAGATAGGGTTTCACCACATTGGCCAGGCTGGTCTCGAACTTCTGACCTCGTGATCGGCCCACCTTGGCCTCCCAAAGTGCTGGATTACAGGCGTGAGCCACCGTGCCGGGTGGAGTCTGGCACCTTTATAAGTTGGATAGCAAACATTTATTATCTCTGAAGCCTGCTACCTGAAGTCTTCACCTGCATAATAAGAACCTTAGTCTTTACAGCCCCTTATCTTAACCCAGACACTCCCTTCTATGGATTTCAGGTCTTTAGATAAACTCAACCAGCTGCCAATCAGAAAATCTTTGAATTCACCTATAACCTAAAATGTATAAAAACAAGCTATACTCTGATAACTCTGGACACTGTACTCTGATAACTCTGGATGTTTTCAAGATCTCCTGGGTCTGTGTCATAGGCCATGGTCACTCATATTTGGCTCAGAATAAATCTCTTCAAATATTCTACAGAGTTTGACTTTTCATCCACAGGATGGAGTTGAGATTCACCTTGACAGCAACAAATAATGAAACTTCTGCAGGTCTCATCTCCAGAAATTGGCTGAGCCATCAGTTGTTTTGGCCATGGTCATGCTTCCAGGATCTCTCCATAAAAGGTTTACACCCACCTTTGTTTCTTCCTTATTTCAATTATG